ATCCCATATGCAGTAATCTTTTTTTCTGGCATGTATTAAACATGCTACTACAAGTTGTATTCAGATTCTCTGTCTGTGGTTAAGAGCCACACTGGTTAGAAGTAACACCCCTTTTGAACCATACATGCCTTTTCATAGCAGACATTTTGACTTGTCATAGCAGGAAAAGCACAAGTGTAATTAATGTCAAGGATCTTAATGATGCGTAAACTGAATGCAATCGTCAGTGTTATTCATTACAAATGGTTCTCCTTTTATGACATAAATCACATAATAGTCAAAATGTCTGCCATATAAACAGCCTATTGGTCGGAATATAAGACAGCTTTGATCACAAGACCACTCATCTGTTTTGGATAAAGACCATATTTAAAATATTTTAATTGTACTGTTAAATGTCCTTTTAATTGCACGTCAATGTATTGTAAAAAGTAAAGATACAATACAAACAGATATTCATCATATATATCATATTTTAGATTTCTTTTGTCTTTGCACCACTGTTGGTCTTTTTATTCCATATTTTTGACATTTTCACAAATCAGGACTGTGAAGAATGTACCTCTGCGCTCATCATGGTGGAAACACCTTAACATCACTGGACATATCTATTCACTACTGTGGCAGTAACCTTCTTTTCACTGGTGCTCACCCATTGTAAATATCTACCAATATAATTTGTATACCAAATTAGGCTTTGGTGTTTTGCCGGTTACCTGTACCTGAAACCTCAAAGACTTGGAAAATACTTTTTATGTACTATGTTCAATTCACCAGAATAATGTAGGGATGTATTTTAATATTTCTTCAACTCAACTTTGAGGAGAATATCATTCTGAAAATCTGCATTTATAGTACTGCCACTTATTTTGCCATGCCAGTTTGTTTGCACTTTTGTGCAGACTTAAGTGGGAAGGTACTTAGCAGCATCTGGGGGGCGTACTTTGTCAGGCCAACTTAATGTAGCTGCGCCATCCTAACTGACCTACTGCATTAAATATTCATATAGCACATTGCTGGCCTCATCATCCTCCTCCTCCTTACCCCAATCTATTTCTCACTACTCTGCATACTAGCTCCATCGTCTTCTTTTGTGCTGTCCCATGTCATTTGCTCTTCTACCAGCCTTTCAGTATGTGTTACTTAGCTTTTGTTCACCAATTTCTCTCTTCATCCAACTTCACTACTTGTACTGCAGGACTCAGCTCCTCCTCCTACATGACTGCTTCCAACAATTTCTAGAAATATGTCAGTTCATCCCTCATTAGCCTGGATCTGTACAGCTCTCTCCCCACTTTCATATTTTCTTCATCTGATTGCTGTAAACAAAAATGAAATTTGACATGAAGTAGCGTGTGTGTGTGTGTGTGCGTGTGTCTGTGTGTGTGTGTGTGTGTGTGTGTGTGTGTGTGTGTGTGTGTGTGTGTGTGTATGGGGGAGAGAGACAAAGTCAGAGACTGTCTTGGTTTTCGTGGTGTATTATTTATTGGTACGCTGGCTCATGAGTAAAGCTATATTTTAAGGGTCCTTTGTGCATGGACACATGTGTATGTGCTGTGTGGATGAATGGATGTGAAAGTGTACATGAAGTTCACTGTATTTGTATAATTGATGCACAATGTCATCAGTAAATCTCTAGGTATGTGGGTTATAATGTGGAAATACATTTGTGTGGTGTGTGTATGTGTGTGTATGTGCATTATTCATATGTGAGCTGCTTGGTGGACTTGTGTGATTTGATGAGAAGATGCAGGTCTGTGTCAACGTCTCTTTTTATCTTTTATTATTCAGCAACCACCAGCAACTATCATCTTCCCCTTTCACCCCTCACTCTTCCAAAAAGACTTCATTCACTCCAAATTCTCCTCTCCTCTCCTCTCCTCTCCTCTCCTCTCCTCCTTAGATTGTGGAGGTATTTAAAAGAAAAAAAGAAACTGTCTGGGTAGGACCACGGTGACCGATATAAACTGATATTAAACATGTTAAGAGCATGTTATGATGACATGTGACGTCACCTACACAGTATCTTCAGCCTGTCACCATATAAAGGCCACTTGTATGTGTGTGTGTGTGTGTGTGTGTGTGTGTGTGCTCATATGATTCCTCACAATGTTACGTAAAATTAAGAGCTAGGCTTTTCAATCTTGATACAGAGCTTTCTCTAATTGAAACAAAAAACAAGTTCAAAAGTATTATATATACAAGTACAAGTTTATTATTCTGACACCTCCCCCATTCTCTTTGTGTCTTCCTCAGTGGTTACCCTTAGTTGAGGGTAACTCAATGTGTATATTTATATTATGGCGGTAACTAATTATTATTATCGATTGATTAATCCATTTTTTAAATTAATTAATGTTTAAAATGTCAAAAATAGTAATAAAAATTCCCCACAATAAGTCCCCAGAATGCAATGTGACATTTTCAAAAGACTTGTCCACCTAACAAACCGAAGGCTATGGGAGCAAAAAAGAGCAACAAATCATCACATTTGAGAACCAGCGGATGTTTGGCATTTTGATAAATGACCCAAAGGACAAGTCTGGCTTATTATATTATATTAGAGCAACATATTCATACAAGTTTTAAACAAACTGTTAGGTTAGACAAACTTATTTAAAAGAGAAAACAAAGGCTAACAGCAAAAATATTACCTAAAGTGTCAATTGTATTACAGACTTCCTGGTTCAACTTTGACCTATACTGTACTTGCCATAGTTATGCGAATGCAGTTTTCCTGTCCAATGAAGAGAACTAACTGACATTTACACAAAGAAATGTGCCAAAAGTTGGTGGGCATTTCTATGGAAAGCCATTGTCCATTTTAAATGATGTTTTGGCCTATTATTGGGCCTTGCAGTGGGTATCAGGCTGTGCCGTCGTAAATCTACTAGGTTCTTCTGACAGGCGACACAATTCTTTAGCCCTGACCTAACTACCTTTAAGCCGCCTTTTACTCCTACCCTCACCCAAGCAAAGAGCAGATGCTCTACAGTTTAGCCTTATATCTACATTGTATCTGCTCAGGTTGAACTACAGTGGCTGGCCCCACTGGCCTGATAGGCAGCTTCATCTCAGTTATCCAGCCACCATCGCTGTATTTGTGTGCACTCTCTCTCAGTTTTTCCTAAAAATAAAGTGATTTAGATAATCTGGCTAAACTGCTGCCTTGTTTACAACCTTTCTGATGGCCTGACTACTCAGATGATCTTGTTGGATTGTGCTGCAATGTGGTGACGTTCCTGAGTTCCCAAATCTCAGCTATTCTTTTGGAGACACAATGTAATGATAACCATTAATCAAAAGTACAAATATATGACCCATATTATTGCAATAAACCGGGATTAACCTTTAAACAATTAGCATATTGTTTTGTTGACTGAGTAATTGGTAAACTGAGTGATTGTTTCAGCACTGATTTGTATGTGAGTGTCAGTTGTACACTTGTTCTATGTGCGAGGGTGTGAGTGGGTGTGCGTGTTAGTATCTGTGCTTGTGTGTTGGCGTTATCTGGGCAAAACTGTGGATGTGCCTGTTGCCTCACAGAGGGAGATTTTTTTTCCTGTGAGTAAAGTATAAAGCCACACACACCTACAGTCAGATACACACACGCACACACAGATGGAAACAGTGAGATAGATCTTTTTGAAGTACAATTTCATCCTATCTCCTTCCTAGTTTTCTCCCTTTTTTGTAGCCGTGGAGGGGGGGAGCTAAATCTCTGCAGGGCTGGCTTTATGTGTGTGATGGCCAGAGCGGAGAGCTTTTTGTTAAACTAAGGGACAAAACTAGAGCTACAATATAGGTTACATGCATATGCACAGGATATGGACAGGATAGAGAACCGGGAGCTGATTCTCCATGTTGTTGTTGTTGATGTGCTTTGATGTTTAATGTGTCACGTTCTTTGATGCCCTCTGCGGCACTGGTGTCGTCAGAACATGTATGTGTGCGTGTGATCTGTGTGTTTGAAAAAGATGGACCTTCTCGTGTTCGTGTCTCTCTCAGTGTTTTTTCCCCTTTTACACCTCTTTCTCCAGCAGGTATCTCAATCTCACTCACAAGACTGGAGCATTTGTCTCTTTCTTACTCTCCCCCCTTCAGCCTTTTCTTTTTCTCCCTGTCTATTCCTCCTCCCTCCCTCCCTCATCCCTCTTCTCTGGGTGATAGGCTGTGTTGCTGTCTATTTGTTGTGTCCCCAGGGGGAAACTCAGCTTACACTTTATGCAAACATACATTCTGCAATCATTAGCAACTTATTTCACACTCACTGTGGGTTTCATTCTGTTTAATAGCTGCTTTGGTTTTGGTAATGCTTACTGCTGCCTCTTACTCTCACGCTGACCCTCTGTTTCCTTCCAATACTGAGACTAAATGATTTAACTGTACATGGCATTTTGGATTAATGCTGTAAAATTTGGAGCCACAGTTTATAGAGGATATCCTTTGACTGACAAATGAGATAACTCTCATTTTTTGCAGTCAGAAAAATGTTTTTCTACATTTTAAACATTGAGCCAGTTCAGTAGTACAGCACCATACTGAATGAGTAAGAAGGTAGACCCTCAGCATCTGGCTCAATTAGCTTTTTAGACAATGCATGGCTGTTATATTGGCAACTGAGAGTGGAAGTGAATCAAACCTGTGAGTTATGAAGCAGCTATGTGACCATTACCCCCCTGCTTGCAGTCACTCTCTTGCAGCATAGCCTCACTTGTCAACTAATTCTCGCTCTCTCACTATCTCTGCACCCCTTCCTCTCTTTCCCATTTTCCCTCTCTCCTCGTTCATTTCTGAAACACTTACACTCTCTCTTATCGCCATCACTCTCCTGACTCACTGATTGCAAAATTGAAAATGCATTTAATTCTATCTGGTTTTTGAGTCTTTGATTTACTCGCATTCACTCAAGCTCTTGTTTTTTTTCTTTTCTGCAATTAATTCAGTTCCTCAGACAAATCTGCTGACTGTCTCTGCTGCCGGCCTGTGTGTCGTTGCAGGATGAGAAGTCCACGTTCTTCCAGTTCGGTGCAGCTCTGCAGCAGGAGGCTCTGCTCATGCTTGCCATCATGGAGGAGTATGACTGGCATGTTTTTTCTATTGTCACTTCCAAGTTCCCCGGGTACCAGGACTTCATCAGCACACTGAAGATAACTGTGGATCACAGGTAATGAATACGCTCCCCCACATGTACACACACAGTCTGTTTTCATCCCTAACCTTTATTTATGGCAGCTGACAAGATTAAGTACCTTGTATTATTTAATGGTGTATTGTTACAGCTTTGTGCGCTGGGACCTGCAGAGTGTGGTGACTCTAGATGCTGTAGATGGCGACCCAAACTCTAAATCACACATTGCCCTCAAGAGGATCCAGAGTCCTGTTATACTGCTGTATTGCTCCAAGGATGAGGCTTTGTGAGTGTTTGTGTCTTTCATTTCAATTTGCTGTTTCTGTTTCTATGTCTACCAAATGTCTGTAGTAAATCTTTATTAACTCTCTGATTCTACTCCTTGACAGGTATATACTAGAGGAAGCTCGGTCCTTGGGCCTGATAGGAGCTGGTTACATTTGGATTGTGTCCAGTCTCACCACTGGCAACCCAGACTTTACCCCCGAGGTAATGAGGCCCCATATGTAGTAACAGGTGGCCACTTTTGAGTGGTTTATCAAGACAAGAAGTGCTTTTGATTCCAGGTTGTTGCAGGTCATCTATGACCCCTCCTGTATTTCTCCTCTCCTTTATTCAGTCGATCCAGCTAATATTCGCTTTCTAGACCACTGTCATATCAGTCTGTTAAACTTTGTTTTTGTATAGATTAAATTAATAAGAAATAAATAATGAGTGAGTTTCAGAGGTGCTGGTAGGCAGATTTTGTTGCCTTCACACTGAGCTCTATAGGGTAGCTGTTTCCTCACTAAGCTAAGCTAACCGGCTGCTGGCCTTAAATTTAGAGTGGTATCAGTTTTCTCTTCTAAGCAGCAACCCAGTGAATGAGCATATTTCAAATGTCGAACTATTTTTTTAAACCATAAGCCTAAAACAATTTAGAGACAAATTATGGTGGCTGGTGAACTATAATTCATATCATATCATAGTTTTAGTTTACTGCTTTGTTTACATTCTTCTCTCTCTACCTAAAAGCATTTGCCCTTAAAATAGGATGATAGCATTACATACACATTCACCTTCAAGATGTGTATAAATAATTTAAAGTATAATCAGTTTAAATGTTCCCCTCACATAAAGAATGGAAACACATCCAGTGTTTGCTTATCTTTTCTCAAAGCCCCTCAAATGTTTATTCTTCTCATTTCCTTGTCCATCATTCTCCTTGACTTAAAGCTCCTATTTGTATTGGGTTTTTATGCCTCAGTTTTCTTTCTGAGACAAAGATCTGATTCTACAGTTTGTGCCAAATTAAAATGTAAGAACAAAGTATTGTAGGGTAGACTGACAGTCTAGCGTACTGGCACTTTTTGATGTTTGCTCAGTTTGATTTAGAGTGATAAACTTAGTGAGCTAATTAGTTAAAAAAAAAGATTATTGACAGTTTTGAGGTGTAGGTGATTCCCAAATGAATGAATTAATCCAGTTTGTGGACATGCAGTCTGCTCGCACTTATTTAATAGCCAGATGTGAATTATTTCAGAAAGGTACACCGAACCAATAAATCATCTGCTTGAGAGAGCCATATGGATGTTTAAAATTGGGATAAAATATGTCATATTGAAGTGAAATTGAATCTTTCACACCATATGTGCAACTTCTTACATCCCCTTTCCTTTTCTCTCAGATGTTTCCCCTGGGTATGATCTCTGTGTCCTATGACGATTGGGAGTACCCGCTGGACACGCGGGTGCGGGATGGGGTGGGCATCATTTCCTTTGCAGCCACCTCCATGCTGCGGGAGAAGGGGGAGCTGCCAGAGGCCCAGAGCAGCTGCTACAGTACACCATCAGACAGGAGCCCAGGGAAGCTCCCACCTAGTGCCCTGCGCAGGTGAGTACTGTGTGTGCATGTGTGCGAGTGTGAGAAGATCAAGGTCTAGGGACTTGCATAACTCTGTTTGTCTTTGTGGAGTGCTGAGCAGTCTTACATAACTCCTTTTAATGTACTAATGAGAGGGGTAGAAGGGAGAAAGGAAACAGAGATGACAGGAGTAATAAGCACAGTGATGTCTAATGACATTTAACACTATTAGCTGTTGTGTACATGGCTTTTTGGTGTATGAGATCATTGTGCTGCCTGAATACATTGAACTTCATCCAGACCTCCATGTTGTTACTGCCCTGCGTTAACTAGAGCCTAGTATGTGTCTGGGGTGTGTGTATTTTTGTGTATTTCTTTGTGTGCACCTTGCTTCACATGACTGAATTCACTGTCATTAAGTCAGGATTAAAGCGGCTTTTACTAGCTTTGTTCTCTCTTTTTTCTTGTTCCGTGGCTCTGGGTGGTACATATGTGTTGGTAGGTGTGTGTGTGTGTGTGTGTGTGTGTGTGTGTGTGTGAGTGCATATATGCATACAAGTATGTGTATATGTACTCTTCTCTGAAGTCTCTGTGATGAGGAAACAGTCAAATCCTTCAAACAAGAACAAGGGACAAATGGGCACACACACAGACACACGTACAAGCACTTTCATACTGAACATCCTCGATAACAGAATCTGTTATTTGTATTGCTTCCTGTGGGGTTTTTTTTTTTGGTGTGATAATGTGACTACATCTTGAATGTGAGGCATGCAGTTGGTAAAATATGATTATTAATTCAGAAATCTATATGAAACTGACTAATAACATAAAGGTCAGGTTGCTAGGCTCTACACATCTACTATGACTTATGAGTTCCCTCATTAGAATGAGAGCCACAGTGTGATTTCCACCATTATGTCTTTATTATTCCATTCTTCTCTCTTATTTGCCCATTACAGCATATATCAAAGCATATACAATACCACCGTTGTTGACAGGTTGATCCAATATAACTCAGACCTCAATAGGAACTCAAACCTTTTCGGAACAATTTTTTTTTTTCTTTCTGTCAGAGGTACCTCATTTGTCTCACTAACTTATTACATAGAATTTGCATATTTGTCAAAACAACTGCAGCCAATTTTGTGATAATAAACTGACAGGTTGGATTTCTCTTCCCTGATTTGGAAGTGGTGAGGCTGTGATCAGAATTCTGCATACATTAGTCTAGATAAAATCTTTGCCGCAGTGTGCATATAAACAACGAGAGGTGGAGAGGAACAGGACAACATAATCTGGCACTTAAAAGACACTATCAACCCCGTTAGATTACCTGCCATTCTTGCCTGACAGGCATTAATATCTCGGCGTCTTTGATCTCCATAATGGTAAAGGTTTTTTACTGAGTTTGTCCTTGTAGTAAATTTCAAAAGGTTATTCTATTTGATGGGACCACTGTACCATGCAAACCCCCAAGCTGTCACTTTTTTTCTGAAAGATGCTCCCTGCCATAACAAAGAATTTGGAAAGAGCCTCCTTTCCTTCTTTATTCATACTTTTAGAAAGTACTCACACAATGACTACCCAAGTACTTACAGTAATAAAAAAAAATATTTCCACACATCCCGCGACCCTGTATGCAGGATAAGCGGTTGACGATGGATGGATGGATGGATTTCCACACATGGAAGTAAAGGGATCCACATTTTAAAAATGGCATTTACAAAAGCAAGTATTTTTATATTCCTGTAATGCAGTTGACACTGTTGTTTAAAACCACCATTGAATTTCTATTTAATGCAAATCATTTTGCAGTAATTTAGAACTCATTGAACCCCTTTTACATAATGTGGCTGTACATTTTGTTTTGTTACCCTCACACGGGATCACAAAATGACATGGATATACATGTTAAAATAAATATGAATATATGATATGTAATCTGCCTGTTCTACATGCCTCAGCAGCACCAGCCTCATCCATTTAGATCAAAATCTTTTCCCCCAAAATGGTAACAAACCTGAAATAGGAGGAGACAACAGTTTCCCAGAATAGACTGCAACAGTGTTTCCGCTATATGTATTCAGCTGTGGCAATGCACTGTGACAAGGGCATCACCTGCTGCACCATGAAGATTTTTTAAACACAAAAATATATTTGTCTTGACATGTCACTAATAGTCAGGAGCATTGTAATCTATAATGACAAAGGCAATTTTAATTCTATAGCACAGAAGTGTCTCTTATGTGTAAAATTCTAGGTTTATATTTAATTATTTGTGTTTGCTGGGAGAGGATATACCTACAGCAGAGCTATTTGGTATTTTTGCAGTACTTGCATGCAAGGGAGACAGGGACCTTTTTATTTACTCATTACTCAGAGTAAATGGAGCTGCTGTGAAAGAGCACAGGCCTGTTTCCAAGTCTTTGTAAAAACAGATGATTAATGTACCTCTCGCTAATCCACTGTCCGACAACAACATTTATGTGTCGATTCTAATACCTCACCCGCAGATGGGACAACATAAAATCCCACCTGTTTGAATCGGAGTGAAATTTCCATAGCTTTCACCTGCAGGGCACATGCTAAACAGCACTCAAACGTTCCCCTTTATGCATCTTGACTTCCTGTCGCAATATTTGAGTGTATGCATTATTCCTTCATGGCCCTGTCCTGCTCACATAAAAAACAGGAGTATATTTTAGCATCCTTTTTAGCTCATTATTTTAGAATAACGAAGCTGTGAATCCATGAACACGTAAAGCGTCTTTTGAATGCAACTATTAAATGTGTATTTGCATAAATAATAGATTTACTAGTAAAGAAAAAAAAATGTCTGTACATATGAAAATGGACTGTTGTGCAAATTCAGAAATGTTTGTGAAGCAGATGTAAAGCTGGAGACTTTTGGCTTTTGACATATTCTATTTTTAGGCAGATGGTATTTCAGTCATATAGCATCACCCGACCAACCGTGTTTGACACTGTCAAAACGAATCACACCATTTCTAATAAAACAGATCACAAGGCATTGAAGAAAAAGTGTTGTCTGTTTTGGGCAGCTGCTGTGCCTCTTGTGATTTGGTCTTTTGAGTAAACTTCCTTAGCCAGCCCTCCGTTCTGAATTCATACTCGCCTTCTGAAATTTGTTTTACTGGAGTGAGTGTATTCTTAATCCCATATCACTGTGTATGATACTGGTTCATTTACTCCTCTCTACTGTTTCACTTTAGCAAGTGTGTAAATGTTTCAGCAAAGGATCTGTTTGCGTATGCAAGATAACTGTAGTGAGTAAGAGAGTGAGGGCAGCCTTGTTGCACCAGTGGCTTGTCTTTCAGGCGTACAGTATATCTGTAGAGAAATCAATGCAGAATGTTGATGGGAGAGCTATGTGGCCTCTGACTCTTCCCCCTCCTACACACAAATAGAAGCACACACACACACACACACACACACACACATACACACACTTGGGCATGCATGCACACACTTGTGGGTGAAGACAGCATTGATTTGAAGAGGATACTCTTGCAGTGATTACAGAGTGCTTAACTTGTTATTTCAAATGTATCTGCACTTGTGCACATATACTCACACTCAAACAGATGCAAAACAAACACAGATAACAACTTCCTACTCTCTTTTTTCCCCATGTGTTTCAGACACATGATGCATGTATGGAATGAAGGGCGAGACTTATCCTTTACTCCAGATGGTTACCAGGCCAACCCCAAATTGGTTGTCATCGTCTTGAATAGTGAAAGGAAGTGGGAGAAGGTAACAAATGAACACAGTGATTTTGCAAAGGAGCAAGCCAATTAAACAGTCAAAACACTTTATTTAAGATGGCTATTACTGATTTTGTTTGTGTGTTTTTTCACATACACAGATGGGGCGTTGGGAGAACGGGACACTGTCGTTGATGTTCCCAGTGTGGCCAAGGTATAACTCCTTTGGGGACGAGGATGCAGATGAGAACCATCTCTCCATCGTCACCCTGGAGGAGAAACCTTTCGTCATTGTTGACAATGTGGACATCCTCACCGGCACCTGCATGAGAAACTCTGTGCCCTGCCGCAAGCATGTCAAAGAGTAAGTAGACGCACACAATATATTAACAAAAAAGCGGCAACTATCTACGGCTCAAGAGCCGTTTAAAAGCCACACTTACTCAAAGTTACTAAGAGAAGGCCCATGATCGCTGAACTGGATGTGTTAGAGGAGGTGAGACATGCACTGGTTTACTATAGTAATGATATCTCAGTTGGATAAAAAAAGGTGGCAATGTTGTTTCTTTTCAACAGGATGGGGGGGGGAGGATACCCTGTAATCTATCTACTTTTTTAGTTGAAAGAAATTAATAAATTTTCACCTCTCAAATTGGTCTCGATTTGTCTAAGAATATAATTGTCAATCAGCTAGCTGCCTTCTGCTTGTTCACTTTTGTTCTACAAAGATCTATACTGAGCCCACTCATTTTTACTTTATATAATAATGACTCACCATCTATTTGTCCTCCAGATTGAAATCCAAATGTATGTGGCTGACAATGTAATATATGCACATGGTTGTAATGACATACAAGTTAATTCTAAACACATGTTCTTTATAGTGCTGAGCAATGATTAAAATTTTTAATCGCGATTAATGGCATGATTTTCTGCCATTAATCGCATTTTTATATGCAAAATTGAATACGAATTCTAAAGTAGTGTATTACGCACTTTTAATTTAAATGTACTGCTATATACACTAAAGTGCAATAACATGTGGTTTGCGAACACCAAAGCTATTTGCCACTGCCAGGGCATTACCTTGTATCTAGCTTGTTAAAACAATTTAGAGTCCAGAGCCACGATTATAACAAGATAACAGGCACCTTCTGAGCAACAGGTTAACATATGTAAATCTGTTTTCTTGTTTTTTTTTCTGAACGGGTAATAGCAGAAACATTTTTCTTTTATCAGGGAGCAGCAGAAACAGTCTGTTCAGTAGCAAGTGTCCCTGTTAGAGTGAGGTGAAGTGCTCGCCTCAGGCACACGCCCGCCCACTGCCAAAGTTGAACTGTCTTGAACTTTTTGTACGCGATGCGCAGCACAAATCACTAGAAGAGAGACTGATCCTCGCTGTTTGTCAGTTTCCAGAATCTATTACTGTTTACTAAATAGGACATCAACAAGAGGGAATTCGCATGGCAGAGCATCCCCGCAAAACTAGATGAAGGCCTGTCAGGTAAAGGTATGTAGCCTATAATTTTAACTTAAGTTAAATAGGCTACAGCTGTGTAGTGCACAGAAGCCGTTGCTATGGTTACTATCCATAGAGCGCCTGCCGTTGGAAACCAGGAGTGTGGAGCAACCCTGCGTGGGCCAAGCGACTACGTTGTGATTTTAAGAACGTTTCTAAGACCGACATCTTCCCCAATACTAACCAGCATGCAGTGTGTAGCTATCCACTTCACTATGGGATTTGATCACTTGTCTTGGTTTTGTTTATCTACTCCCACACGCTGCATGCAACGTAGTCTGCCGAAGTCTCACTCCACTGCTTGTTTGGGTGGGTGATTTGTAGGCTGATCAACATCCCACCCCTCCTGTTACCCATGGTCTGACTGTATGTGTATTCAGAGCCAGTGAGCAACGGACTTTCAAAATAATAATAACAAAACTGCGTTAACATGCGATAAAATAATTGTCGACGTTAATAAATTAATGCATAATAACGGTTTGATTAACGCGATAATAACGCGTTAATGTGCCCATCTATAGTTCTTTAATAAGAGAAATAGTTCTTTTGTAGCCACGGATGTTTTTTATCAGGAGAAAAGATACAGGTATTTGTATTCATATCAAATCCAATGTAGCTCATTTCAGATTCATATATAACTACTCCACATGTCAACTGAGGCAGCCAAGATTACATCAGTGATTTTCCCACATATTAGTTACTATTTTGTGTTCTTTGTCAGTGTTGTACAGGAGTAAAACTCAAACCAACTTCTGTCAGAGAGTTTAACACAGTTTATTTGGTTCATGGATAATCAGTTCTGTCAGCATTAATAATTAATTGCTCTCTGTTACTGTCAGCTTGCTAATGCCAATCTGTCGGTCTACTTGATTTTTGTTTCTACTGCCACTGTAATTGCTTGTGTTTTCCATTGTGGTTTTTGTTTCATTGTTCCATTAATTCAGTGTGATTCTTTTGTTTTAGATGTACTGAACTTGTTGCCTGTTTTAAATATTACATGCTTTACAATCTTTATTTTTATCTAATTTTACAGTACCCACATTATTATAATGTGGCCATGTATAGAAACCAAAAAATTATTTGAATAAGCAACTGAACTCTTAAAGGTGGAGTAAGGATTCTGGAGAACACCCTGACAAATAACATGATATAGAGCTAACAATGACACTGCAAGTAATGTACATTAGCTAGGTTGTGGCTTAGCAAACTGTTGCTACATTTGCTGCTGCAAAACTAACATGCAGAGAGTTGAAAATTTAAATACCACTGAACTTGTGGAATAGAAATCACTGACAGTGAAAACCATTTTTATGAATTTCTGTGTTTTAAATTTCCCTTGCTGAAATTTTGAGAAGGTAATTTCAGGTTATGCAATTTAAAAAATCTAAATTCAAAAACAAATAAATAAATAAAATTCAAGTGGCGTGCAGTCTCTACTCTGAACCTTTCTTTCTTGGATTATAAGACTGGCAGAGCATAGCCCAAATGTCCAAGCATGACTTTTCATCTTCAGTTTTGTTTACTTGACTCAGCATGACTTGAATTTTTAGGTCTGAAAATGACCAATTCAGTCTGTAAATCAATATTGTTTTTTATATTGGACACTTTACACACTTTTATTTGTCTGAATTTGTAAAATTACAAAATTACAATGATGTACTTGAAACTGTAAAACACGTTTCTGAAATTGCACTACAGCTGAAACAATTAATTGATCAGTCAATGGACAGAAAATGAATTGGCAACTATTTTTATTTTGATTGTTTAACCGTCCAAATGTGTTTCAGCTTCTCAGCTTTGAGGATTTGCTAGTAAAGGAGAATATCTTTGGGTTCTGTACTTCATCACCTTTGCCATTAGGAATTTGTAACAGGCCCTTTTAATTATTTTCTGACATTCTATAGACCAAACAATTAATCAGTTAATAATCTGGAGATCAATCAGTAATAAAAATAGTCTGTAGTTGCAGCCCTAAACTGCATAAATCAAAATGACCTATTTCAAAGAGGAGAACTGAAACTAACTGACACTTTTACCGTTATGTCTATGAATGTGCACTGTCCCTGTAAATAAATAAATCCCCAACCTGAGCTTGAGACAGAAAATGTAAAAATGTTTCATCCTTTTTGTCATCTGGACTACTGTAACTCCCACCAAGCCAGTATTATATTCAGCAGCTACAAATCAGCCAGAATGCTGCAGCCTGCCCCGTCTTCAACCTCCCCAAGTTCTCCTTCCCCACTGGCTGCCGGTGGCTGTTCACATCAAATTCTAAATTCTGGTCCTGGCATTCAAGGCTCCTCGGGGAGTCGCACGCGCATATCTGCAGGCTAGGGTCTATCCGTACCCGCCAGCCTGTGCTCTGTGGTTTGCTACAACCAGCCACTTAGCCCTCCACTCCCTGCGGCAGCTACGTCATCGTTTCACCTGACCTCCTCTTTCTCCTGCTCCCCAGTAGTGAAATGTCCTTCCCACGCCAGCACATTTACTCCATCTTCTATTGTGAAAAAATCCTCTTTCAACCGAATATCCCCATATCCTCACTATGCATCTGCTGTTTAAAAAACACCCCTTGTATGTGTTTACTTAAATTTTTCTATTCTTATTTTTAGCAAGCTGTTATCTGACATGATCTGTTATCATTCGCTCGTGATAAGTCTCAGCTAATGGAACCGAAATTTTTCACAAATTCATATTGACTTTGTTGTGCTACTTAATCAAATGTGATAATTTTTTATGTCTATATTAAGGTTTTTTTTCCACCTCACCACCTCACTGCATATATATCTCTTTCCCATGCACCAATAGCAGTGAGCTGATATAAATTATCCTTTGTTACAAATTATATTGATTCTGATTTAACTTATCATATCTGAAATCATAACTGATTTAAATTCATATTACAATGAAACTAAATTTCATATGTTTAACACATTAATGTTGCCACATTTATAGATTAATTTAGGCATTTAATTTTTATTTTCCCTTTTTGATTGTGATTTTTGTCACATCATATATACTTGAAGATTTTAGGATCGGTTCATGGTGTTTCTACATGTGTGACGTGTGCTTTTTTAAAATCAGCCCAGCAGAAAGCTTTAGAGACTTCTTTCAACAACAACACGTCAAACAATACAATGGACTTTTCTTTGAAAAAAACTTAAAAGGCATTTTTATAGTGGCTGAAATATGTTGCATGCCTTTTCAAGTGTGTAAACAGTGCAGAGATATTTCTCAAATAGTGAGTAAAAGTAAAACTTTCTCAAAGAAACTTCCTTTGGATTCTTTGACATCTTGGGTTTTGCTCCAATTATCTGCGATATATGGACACCTCTATAAGACCCTCTGCATGACAAGACAAGGCAGCTTTGTTTCTCTCTGCTAATTTCTATAATTTAGCTCACATCTCAGCTCATCTGTATATAGTCAGTTCAGAGTACATAAAGATTAATTATAATCGCTGCAGGTTTATTTGTCACTGGCTCTGGCATTTGTCTCTGTAGCTGTACTGTGCTTCTGCTTGATCACTTGGCCACAACACTGTCCGAATGCACAACTAAAATCAGTATTTTCTTAAGTACTCTACTCATGACTGACAGCAATATTGTCATAATTTCAATAAATGTCATAATTTCTAGACAATAGCAAATAGTAAAAAAATTTCAAGATAGCAATTAGGATATGATAATACAATAATACAGGATAAGATAGGATAGGAAAGGCATTGTTAGCCACTAGGAAATTGTAAAAAACAAAAAACAAAAAAAACCACTAAACTGTAATTGCTGTCTTTGAAAATTCATTTCCTTTTTTTAACAAACTGGATCCACCATTTTAAAAGCTTTTGTGTTGGATGGATTCGAGAAGACAGAAGATGCAACACAACAACCACTGAGTATCTGATCCATGTAGTCATGACAACGCAGCACTGTAGGCCCGTTCTGTTAGACGACTGAATCATAGCACATGGAAAGTTTAACTTGTGACCTGGTTTCTCAACCTGAACCTCTCTGAAGCGACTGCTGAGGAAGTCTCGGAGCGGTCACAGGCCAAGATGACCAGTCTCTTGTAGGCCTTCATTTACGTTACGTTTGCCTTTTCTGTGTCCAACTACCCATTCAGTCACTACTTCCATTTTATGCTTGTCGTTACAGAAGCCTGACATCAATCAAACATATCTACTGTATGTGTATCTCTGGGAGTGTGTAATCACTGTGTGTGCGCGTGTAGGTGTGCGTGTGTGTGTGTGTGTGTGTGTGTGTTTACATAGTGACATAAGGACACAGCGAGGGCTCAGCTGGGGAGCGCTAATGTGTACAGTATGTGTGCATTAGAACACCTGGGGCTCATACCGTACATACACAGACTCGCACACATGTATGTATATATACTATGCTCTCCCTCTCTCTCACTCACACATTCACACACTTTAATAAACTTTAATAGTTTTAAAGTTTTAGTTTAGTGCTCCGAGATCCCCTTGTCAGAAAAGTTTTCTTAAATATCTGTTTCCTTTTTGTGCATCCTGTCTGTATGGCCTCGCTGTGTGTGTAGGCATGCTGTAAGTTTTGAAGAGCTACCTCCTTACAGACAGAATCAGAGAAACACAGAGGTAGGAGGGAGAAAAGGACAGTGTAAAAGAATGAGGAGAGAGACGAGGGGAAGGACAGCTGATATTTTAATCATGCGGGTTGGTTGCTCTGCAGAGCCCAGCTCTATTTAAAGCCCGGCAGCATCTGCTCAGTACCCCTGTGATTCCGGCACTAAGGGAAAGACACACAAACACACACATACACCATACATGCTCTCTCTGCCCTTCAGCAGTATTTATTGTTACTCTACACTGTCATAATTCTAGTTTTACAGTTTGATGGAACCACCAGATGTTGAGCAAGCAGGCAGTAAGAGTACAGTTACACTGGCACTCCACACATTCGCCTGTTAACACTGAAAATGTTAAATTCCCTAATGTGTTGTGCATATGTGTGTGTGTGTGTGTGTGTGTGTGTGTGTGTGTGTGTGTCTCTATGTTGCAGTAACAGCACATCAGGAGGTTCCTACATTAAGCAGTGCTGCAAAGGTTTCTGCATTGACATTCTGAAGAAGATTGCTAGGAACGTCAAGTTCACTTATGACCTCTACCTGGTCACAAATGGAAAACATGGCAAGAAGATCAATAACGTGTGGAACGGCATGGTTGGAGAGGTAATTCCTACTTGTCTGACCCTTACTAAAATAACACATCGGTCTGTCTCTCTGATTTTCTATGTAATTATTGGGAAATACACATATTTGCTGTTTCACCCAAATTAGATGAGAAGGTTAAAGCCGCTCTCATGTTTGTGCGGTAAATAGGAAGAATGGAAACAGGATGGAAACAGCTAGCCTGGCTCTGTTCAGCTATATAAAGATACACCCACCAGCACCTCTACTAATAACACTTTATGTGTTTCAGCTTTAGCTCACAGTCTATTTGCTAATCTCAGATAACTGGGTGCTGCCTGTAGCTTCAAATTGAATGGACGCACAGCACGAGCGTGATAGTGATCCTCTTACCTCTTATCTTAAGTCTTGGCAAGAAAGAAAGTATGCATGCATTAGTTGTTTAAATGTCAAACTATTCCGTTACATTACTATAAATTTAATATGTCACATCAGATATATCATTTAGTTGCATAATGCCGCCTGTCATTATTTATACCGTATTGCTTGTTCCTTTCTACTGTTGGCCTCTACATGGAATTATTACTAAATGTATTGATTAAAAGACTGGTATCACTCTCTGTTTTTTCATTATCAACAAATATCATAAAAAATTAACTACCCAGTCTTTGGCACTCAGCCCTAAGCCCATTTATTCCTACTAAATAAGTATCTCACTGATGTGTTTTCAGGAGTTTTAGATACAGTAAAAGTCTGCGGTACAGAGAACCGCATTAGTTCATTGTTGGTTTTGGTCTTTTCATGGCAATGTGTTGACTTAAAGAAAAATATGGAGCATCCTCAGACTTATCCTTTAAAGCTATAATCTATTATCCAATTGTAAACAAAGGTGTCACCCCACCACCAAACCTTAAAAGACAGGACTGGAAGCTGCTATCACTTTTAAATCGATTAACAGATCATTTAATGCACTTGTAGACAACAAGTTATAAAATGTTTTCCGATGCTGTAAAAGGTTCCCCTTCGAGGGAACTCGAACTGCGTCGGTGACAACACTATGGGAACGCCTCTGGGTGTGGCAGGGCTGAAATCATGAATGAAACTACTCCAATCCTATTGGCGTTGCTACAACGGTAGCGTCTGACGGCGTAACTGGAGGCGTATATAAGCACGCCGGCACACCGGACACATTAGCTTTTTTCTATTCAGCAGGCACTCTGGCATGTTTGAGACTACGAAGAGGAAAGTGCAACCAAGCGAGAGGAATTTTCTTACCTGGAAGGAAGTCAGGCAGAGGAGATGGCTGGTGAGCAGTTCAGGCAGTGTGTTTTTCCATGCCCGCGCTACATCACGGGGACACTCATGCCTTGTGTGTGTCTTGTCTGGGGATGCCGCATGGCGGCGGGCCGGTGCAAGCCTGCACACGATGGCGGTTTTGCAGGCATACCAGGCTGACCTGCTGAGGGACATGGACTCAGGAGGGGGCCCCTCTGAGGAGGATGTAGCTAAGCTCTGCAGAGCTACGGATTTGTCACTCCGAGTCACGAAGGAGACGGCCCGCGCCATTGGCCGCTCCATGTCTGCACTGGTGGCCACGGAGCGACACCTGTGGCTCAACCTGTCGGGCATCCAGGAGAGGGAGAAAACCTTCCTGCTCGACGCGCCTGTTGCAGCCTCTGGCCTGTTTGGCGAGGTGGTGGACACCGTCATCAGCAGGTTTCAGCATGCCAGGACGCAATGAGAGGCATTCCGGCAGCATCTCCCTCGCCGGTCTGGGTCCAGGATGGCAACAGCTGCGGAGAGACGGTCCCAGCCGTCGTCCAGCTCCTACCGCCAGTGCCAGAGGCAGAGTGTCGCTTCTTGTGGTCCCCCTCAGCACACCCGGGACTCGAGGCGGCGTTCTCACCCACAGCCCCCGGATCTGAGGGGTCAGGGGAAGAGGTCCTGAGGCTTCTAGCGGAGGGGCAGTTCCGGGTCCAACCAGGTGTTGGGACAAGAAGTTCGCTCTCTGCTGGAAAAGGGGGCCGTAGAACTTATTTCCTTGCCAGTCAGGGAGTCCGGGTTCTACAGCTGGTACTTCATAGTTCCCAAAAAGGACAGAGGATTGCGTCCAATTTTAGATCTGCGGTCCCTGAACCAATCTCTGTGGAGATTCAGGTTCAAGATGCTCACCGTCCCCTCCATCGTCAGTCACATCCAATCCGAGGATTGGTTTGTCACGATAGATCTGTGAGACGCATATTTCCACATCTCCATCTGTCCCTCTCACAGGAAGTTCCTGAGGTTCGCCTTCGGGGGCGCGGCGTACCAGTATCGGGTTCTTCCGTCAGGCCTAGCACTCTACACTCAACAACGATGCGGGCCCACCTGTCTCCTGCATGCGTCAGGTCCATTTTGTCCACAGTGACCAGAGTGAAGCTAGGCCGCACCATCACTGTGAAACACTTTCAGAGGGTATTGGGTCTCATGGCATCAGCGTCCAGCGTAATCCTGTCTGGCCTGCTGCACATGAGCCCTGCAGTGGTGGTTAAAATCCAAGGGATTCTCCCCAAGGAGAAATCCGCTACGTCTGATACGGGTTACGAGCAGGTGCCTTCGTTGGGAACAGGACACTGCGTCGGTCCGCCCCACCTCACCCCGCCTGGAGTGCCTTGCTTCATAGCAAAGAGCTAATGTGTCCGACGTGCCGGCGTGCTTATATACACCTCCAGTTACCCCGTCACACGCTACCGTTGTAGCAACGCCAATAGGATTGGAGTAGTTTCATTCATGATTTCAGCCCTGCCACACCCAGTGGCGTTCCCATAGTGTCGTCACCGATGCAGTGTCTCGTTCCCCTTCTCGAGGAACAAGGGTTACAGGCGTTTGTTTATATCATTAATGTTTGTTCCTGGGAGTAGAAAAGGTTTATGTTTTCAAATACGATCACGTGTGAGATACCACAGCCACACTGTAATTTATATGTCAATAATATTTTTTGTGGTTGCTTTAAATCTCATACAAACAACTATTTCAGAGTACAGATTATTAAGCTCCTCCACATAAGGAGGTTACCTTGAGGCTTATTTAATCGCTGTCATTTATCTTTTCTGGAAATTATCTATTCAATCAGATTAAATTAAAGCTAAGTGCTGTCACAATAAAATCCAGTAAAGGTTAAACTCGGACGTAAAACGTCTGATAATGGAACCTGACATAATGATCCATAGATTGTGGCAGTGTTTATGGGAGCAGATTGCTAGAAGCCGTAGACAATTAAAATTTGAAAAAAAGTAACATTTTACTGCATACTAAAAACAACAACTTCATGAGCAGAATCTCCGTCTGTCGGAACACATTCAGACTCCCAGAAATGGTGGCAACATGAAAAAGACAGCTGTATTTTTACTTTTCATCTGATATGGCTGCAAGTGCCCTGCAACTACAGATGACATTCTGCGCTTATACCCTCAGTCACTGTGATATTTCACATCCAAAATAAAAAGGAGGAACATAGCAAATTGTTGGATGTTGTCCAAATATTTACTGAGCTCGCTATATTTATTTCCGTCAGTATATGTAGTAAGTCATGCACCCATTGTAACTATGGCTCTCTCTGTCTACTAGGTGGTGAATAAGAAGGCAGTGATGGCAGTCGGTTCGTTGACCATCAATGAGGAGAGGTCTGAGGTCATTGACTTCTCCGTGCCCTTTGTAGAGACGGGCATCAGCGTCATGGTGTCACGTAGCAATGGGACCGTCTCTCCTTCTGCCTTCCTCGGTAAATCTATCTTTTTTCCTTAACCATAAATTTCCTCCTTTTTCTCCTTTCTTCTTTTTCTCCATCTCTCCCCCAGTGAGCCCACTACTGGGAGCAGAACAAAGGGAGGTGCTTACACGTTAGCAAAATCCCGCACATAAAATGGAATATTTGATTCAGACAATATATGCCGGCCAACTTCCACTTGTACCCTGACTAATCTGGGCCTCAACACCCTAAGCACATTAATATTTCTAGCAGAGCAGAGGAAGTGGAGTGTGCCAGCTGTTTTTTGAAAAGTCAGCTCAGACAAAGCATTCTTGATACTCTCATCTTCCTCCTCCTCCTCTCCTCCAGTTGTTCAGATGACTAGAAACTGAAGCACTCCTCTGCGCTCGCCTAATGTCTTATATTGTCATTGGAGCGAGACAGGGAGCGAGGGGATGTATTGGACCATGCGTATGTTGGTCCCTGTGTATCAAGCCATGTGTCAGTATGCGTGTGTGCAAGAAAAAAAAAGTGTGTGTGATACAGCACCAATATATTAGTTTGTGTATTGAATTAAGTGTGTGGAGAATGAATGTGCTTTGGCCGTCTATATGTTAAGGCGGTGAATGCTTTGTGTGTGTATTTATATGAAAGAGTTTATTGTATGTCTGTGTATATGAGTGTGTGTGTGTGTGTGTGTGTGTGTGTGTGTGTGTGTGTGTGTGTGTTGAGCCTGGATCAGGGTATCAGTGACGGTTCAGTATCTCTCGTACTCATATTAGAGGCACCTCAGTGCACAATCTCTCAGGGTTGGCTAACCCTGGCAGTCACATACTTACACGTATAGTGACACACACACACATGCACACACATACAATGGGTCTGGGTTCAATGTCTCTGGCACTCATCCCGGTCTCTGAACTCCTGCCCTGCTACACACCAAACACATGCACTCTCACACACAAATAGATCACGTACACATGCCCACAGCAGGGCACATCAGATCACTTGGAGTTGAGTCTTCTCTCTCCCCCTCTGTCTATCTTTCTCTCCTTCTCTCTCCCCCTTTCCTCAACCATCTCCCCTGCCCCAGGCCTCTCCCTCTCTCAGTTCTCATCCAAGGGAATAATGAGAAATATGGAAATGTGCTCCGTCAAACTCTCTGTGACTAACTCTCCCTCTTCTCCCCTCCCTCCCTCTTCTCTCACTCTGTCTGTCTCCCCTTCTCCCCTCTCTGTGTCTTCTCTATCATCTTTTCCTCGCTTTATCTACCCCTCGTCCCTGTTCTCTTTCTCCGAGTCCTTTTTCTCTCCGTCCCTCACTTTTTATGCACCTCCTGCTCCTTCACGGTGTCTTTCTGTCTCATCTTCTTGTTTTCTCTTTAACTCTCTCCCTTTCTCTCCTCCTTTCTCCCAGAGCCCTTCAGTGCATCAGTTTGGGTGATGATGTTTGTGATGCTGCTCATCGTCACAGCCATCGCCGTCTTCCTCTTTGAGTTTGTCAGTCCTCTGGGCTTCAACCGCAACTTGGCCCAAGGCAAAGGTAGGCTTACACACACAATCAGGAATATCACACCAATCGTTTCTCCCCAGAGCAAGAAGCACAAATCCAAGCTTCCCCTGGAGCAAAAGAAGTGACCTATTACCACTCCGACTTTAGACAGTTCAGTTAATGTTACAGAGCATTAACAATTCTCGCCCAAAGATAGTCAACAGCACTGTAATCAGAGGGATCATCAAAAAACAGAACCTGGAGCTACCCTGCTGGCTGTGAATTACAGATTAATGTTATATTCACACAAAATTAGATTTTAGATTAATTTAACATTTAAATGAGCCAATCCAGGTGTAGCAAGCAAATTTAGTTTTTTCTTCGATTTTCCTTTTGGCGCACCTGAACATGATTCATTAAATCTAAACAATGTTTCCTAATTGTTCATCTTACACAGTGAATGAACAACACATAAAAAAGTAAAACTATTTTATCATTGTTTTCACCTCCAGGATAATAGTGTATCTTTAAAGATTAGTTCAACATTTTGGGAAATACACCTATTTGCTTTCTTGCCAAGATCTATACCACTTTTGTGTCTGTACGATGCACATGTAAATATGATGTAAATATTTTTGCACATCACTGCACAAACTTCCACAGTGCATATATTCCTTATTATTCTTTTATATGTTTATATTTTGTCAATATAAATATAAATCCTCTCCCTCTGGAATATGTTTGCAGAACACAAATCCAGAGTAATTCACATGTAAATAATTGCCACTTTGTTTTTCTTTTACTCATAGTTCTATTATTATTTTATAACTTGCATCTGTTCATTTCATATTTATATATTTTTTAATCTGCTTATGTTGACTGTATGTTTATGAATATGTCTAATCACCATAGCAAATTTCTCCTACGTGTAAAATACTTCTTGGCAATAAAGCTCTTTTGGATTCTGATTCTGATAAATATGAAGCTGGAACCATCTGGAGACAGCATGGTTCTGTCTGCCAAGGATAACAAAATCTGTCTACCTGCTTCTCTAAAGCTCACTAACAAACAAGTTTGTGTCTCATTTGTTTGATCTGAACAAAAACTGAAGAGTTAAAACAGAGTGTTGGGCTACGTTCCAGGCAATTTCTAAGGTGGGAGTAGTAAGGGCCCGTGTCCACCAAAGCCTTTTTAGTTACCACCGTTTAGTTCAAGACCTGAGGTTCGACAAAGCCCAGTTCCAGGATAGTAACCGTTGCTACGGTGTGGTATTTGTCCCGCCCTTCCTCTACTGTGATTGGACAGATGAGTAAAAAGCAACAGTGACTAGCGCAGCGTTTTTACCAAAGTTGAACATTTTTCAACTCTCCGCAACCGGGAAAAAACGCTCAGCGCCTCCTCACGAGGTTTAGGAGTCAGGAGTCATTGTCAGGAGTACGTGTTAAGAACGGCGGTGTCAAGCATTCTAAATAAAAACAAGAATAACATAAACTATTTAAATGTATATTGTTGTGTTTCTTCCGTCCCACCCCCGTGTTTCTTCAGTCCTGCACAGTAGGGCCGAATGAAAAAATGCGCACCTTTCCTTCAAAGTGAAATTATACTCAAGTCATTCCACATTTTAACAAGACAGCACCTGGTATTGATAGAACACACACGTCAGTGGTTGATGACAACAACAAATGATTTCTGTCTGTAATGTTATATTTTAAAATGACGTATATCTGAAAAGTGTTTAATTCATCCTGGCTCTCTCCTACTGCATGCAGCTTCACAGTAGCAGGCCTAAATCGCAGCTACAAGTAAAGGTCGGTCTAGTGGGCCTAAGATGTTTTCGCCTTCACCTACTGATCGTGCTCGTAACTCAAACAAAAGCCTTTTGTCCAGAATGACCGTTGCAACATTTGTGAGCTGTAGGCATAAATAAACATCAAAGCCTGTCACATTGTATTTACAAAGTCACTCCCCTGGAGGAAGCATGATGCCCTCAAACTGTATCACAAGGCTTTTTGTTTTAACTTTTCTTTTGGAAATTTTTTTGTGGTTAAAAAGATGGTGGCATGTAGGATGATTTACACTTTTAAGCATTTTTTCAGCTGCTGGTTAGCATCACTAACACAGCAATTTCAGGGAAAAGACAAGAATTTATATTGTAATGTAAATTATTGTAATATTACAGGCTAGGTGTTTTTCAACCCCAAAATCTACCTCATACTAATAGCCTCATAAAGCTTAAAACTTTCTTGGTTTAAGTTTTTTTTTCACTTTCACTTTTATAATTCTCCCTCTGCTCCCCTGCCTCTCTCTCAGACCCACATGGCCCATCATTCACCATCGGTAAGGCCATATGGCTGCTGTGGGGTCTGGTGTTCAACAACTCTGTGCCTGTGCAGAACCCAAAGGGCACCACCAGTAAGTTCATTGTGTCGGTGTGGGCCTTCTTTGCCGTCATCTTCCTGGCCTCCTACACTGCCAACCTGGCTGCCTTCATGATCCAGGAAGAGTTTGTGGACCAAGTCACTGGACTGTCTGACAAGAAGGTGGGATTACACACACATAGACACACAGAAACACACAAATACACACTGAAGAAACTAAACGCATTCACAGTCAGGGTTGCTCTTGTAATGGATGCCAGCCCTACGGCCAGACAGGACTCTCCAGGGAGTGCCCTTGGGCTTCAACAGCCCAAACCCTCTGGCCGTAGCTGTCACCACGCTAACACTGCCAGCCCAGCAGACCCAGGGGTGCACACACATACGCAGGCTGCAAAGATCAAAGACATGTGTTTGTGTTTGGGTGTCTGTGTGTGTGTGTGCGTGTGTGTGTCGGTAGTTTTGCAGAGGCTGGCAGTGTCAGCAGTACCCCAGCCAGTCTTACGCTAGACCGGACACACAATGATGATGACTGATGAGTCCACTCCACTGTTTCTCCCTCCTCCTTTCTCCTGTGTCTCTTCTTGTCACTCTCCTCCTCTCTGTGTGCCTCTCCTTCACTTGAACACTTTTTCTCCCTCTCATACTTGGACTCCCTTTCTTCCCCTCCTTCTTCTCTTATTTTGTCTTGCTGTCTCTCACTCCTGCACTACGTCTTGTAGCCTCTTTGTTTTTAATCTTTTGTTTTTTTGAGCTACTGTCAGTTCTCACTTTAAACAATATGTCTCTTTTGCTGTCCTTCTTCCTTACCCTACAGTTCCAGAGTCCATACTCCTATTCCCCTCCCTTTCGCTTCGGGACGGTTCCTAACGGCAGCACCGAGCGCAACATCAGGAAGAACTATCCAGATATGCATCAGTACATGACCAAATACCATCAGACTGGCGTCGTGGATGCGCTGGTCAGCCTCAAGACTGGGTACTGTAAACTTGTCAAGCCAACTTACGTCAAGTTAAAATGTATTATACCTGAGAGGGTAATTCTGTTTGCAGACAGTATGTATGCTTAAGAACATGTGAAAACAGACAAAACAAAGACCTTGCTTCACACAGAGATCTGGCCCCATGGGGCCCAGCACTAGTTCATGCTAAAATGCTGCAGTAACTGTGCTCAGTGTTTCTGTCACTGACAGTAAAATGCAAACACTGTCTGCAAGTGCTCATTATTGAGTCTTGTTGCTGCTGGAAAGAGGGAGCTGCCAAAACAGGGAGAGTGTAATTTGTTCTGGAGTTTGCTACTTTTATTCTCCCTCCTAAACACACACTAATGGAAGGATGGCTGCAGTGCTTTTATTTGTTCATTAGTTTTCTGTGCTTTGATCTTTAGGGTATTTTCTCCAAATATAATTTTACTTTGCTTTTCCCTCTCTTCACGTATTATATTGATACTGCATATCAAATAGATACAGTTTGTTTCTCATATCTCATACATTAGGCATTGTTTATACAGCATCACAACTGTATAATTAATGTGTTCAGCAGAAACATCAGTGTTTAATTTAAATCTTGAGCAAAAGTGGTTGTTTACACAGAAGACAATGTAAAAACTTTTGTCAATATTTCAGTCATGGCTGTGACACAAAATTTTAAACACATTTAAAATGCTCTATACTTTAATGAATCTGCAGTATAGTGTTTTCAAATGCTGTGTGCACTTAAACCAGTGAATATTAGTCTGAAATTCTGTGCAGTTTTCAAACAGCAGACACATTTAACATATGCCCTATGGTGCAGTTTAACAGTTTAATTCAAAGTGTTTTATATTTATGTATACATATCTTACACAGAGGGCCCCAGGGGGATTGATTAGCACCAGGGTGTATTCAGAGGGTTATATAAAACCATTTCTTTGCTCATAATGAAGTTCTAAACAGGGTTCTGCTGCTATACCTTGTAATATTGGCTCCTTGTTGCATTGTGTTTGGTTAACAGTCATAGATCAAGCTTCTGTTTTTGCTGAGCTCAGAGGTTCAGGCCCACGTAAGGGGATTGTTGCATCACATACTGCGGATGTTGCGCCCCTTAGTTTGAATTCAGCTTTTCATGTCAGAATAATGACAAAACCTGTAAGGAAAAGATTATAGCCCAGTGTGAACAAAGACATCCTCATGTGCGTGAATATTTACAGTACCCGTATGCGCACGGGAGTCAGTCACACACTGAGAATTCCAGCGAACAGTTTGTTCATGGATCTGAAGCGCATTGTTACTGTCACAACATTGGATGTACATTATCATCTGTAGTGAAGACTCAGCAATGTTGTGCTTTTTAGTACTGTAGCCTGATGGATCAAATTTCACAATCTTCTTTTACCATCAAATGAGGACTGTATATATATATATATATATATACAGTATATATGTATATTGGTGCTGGGCAACGATTAAAAATTTTAATCGCGATTATGCGCATGATTTTCTTGCGATTAATTGCATTGTTACGCGTAAAATTGAATAACGAATTCTTAAGTAGTGTATTGCGCAATTTTAATTTAAATGTACTGCTATATACAAAAAAGTGTAATAACATGTGGTTTGCAAACACTTTAAACAAATAAGGTGCTTTTTTACCAGCAGTATTCCCTTTACACCGTAGCAATAAAAAATTTCTTGTAAATCTCAACTTAAACATTAATGTAATCAAATCAAATATTAAACCAAAGCTATTTGCCACTGCCAGGGCATTACCTTTTATCTAGCGTGTTAAGTTACCATCAGAGTGCAGTTTTCTTGTTTGTCAACAGGTATCAGCATCAGGTATCTTTTATCAGGGAGCAGAAGAAACAGTCTGTTCAGTACGGTCGGGATGATGTCTACAAAACTACATTGAAACATCGTGATGGACGTTGGCATGCGGGGGTGGGGGTGGGGTGGTGGGGGGTAGCGGCCTTGGACAAGGCAGATCTGTTTCTTTTATATTTACATTGCATTTCATGTTTTCCTATTATGCAAATGAACCTTTCTCATAGAATTTATATTTGTTATTTAACATTTCTTGTTGCAAGCTGATTTTCAGAAAACCTTTAGCAAATGCTTTGAAAAAGTGGTGGGGACATGTCCCCAGTGTCCCCAGTGTAAATGGCACCTATGGTACTGTGCAACGATTAAAATTTTTAATTTTTAATTGTAATTAATCGCACTGTTATGAGTCCAGAGCCACGATCATAACAGGCAACGTCTGAGCAACTGGTTGTCATATATATTCGTTTTCTTGTTTTTTTTCTGAGCAGGTATAAGAAGAAACATTTTTCTTTTATCAGGGAGCAGCATAAACAGTCTATGTTCAGTAGCAAGTGTCCCTGTCAGAGTGAGGTGAAGTGGCACGTTGCGAACAAACAGTTTCCAGAATCTATTACTGTTAACTGAATAGGACATCAACAGCAGGGAATTTGCATGGCAGAGCTACAGCTAGGCTACAGCTGTGTGGCACACAGAAGCTGTTGCCTTGGTTAATGTCCATAGAACACCTGCCGTTTACTCGCGAAGCCCTTGTCTCCCTTTCTGATCATCGGAGCAAAGAGCAACCACTGGGCCAAACAACTACGTTGTGATTTTAAGAACGTTTCTAAGACCGACATTTTCCCCAATACTAACCAGCATGCAGTGTGTAGCTATCCACTTCACTATGGGATTTGATCGCTGTCTTGTTTTTGTTTATCTACTTCTCCCACACACTGCATGCAACGTAGTCAGTCGAAGTCTCCCTCCACTGCTTGTTTGGGTGGGTGATTTGTAGGCTGATCAACATCCCATCCCTCCTGTTACCCATGGTCTGACTGTATGTGTATAAAATAATTGTTGGCGTTAATTAATTAATGCGTGCCTAGTCCTAAGTCGTGCCCAGAGAGAGAGAGAGAGAGAGAGAGAGAGAGAGAGAGAGAGAGAGAATAGTCTGGAAAAAATGTACATTATTTGTTTGAGAGAATTATTGATTTTCTTTCTCCTTAAGTCATCGTGTGACCAGATTTATCTTGGAATGAGAAGACTGAAAACAACCTGATTACTGTGTGCTGAATATGAAGCTACAGCCAGCATCAGGCATAGCCTAGCATAAAGACTGGAAACAGGGGAAAAGAACAAGCCTTGCTCTGTTCAAAATATTCAACAAAAAACCCACCAGCAGCTCTTAAGCTGACTAATTAACATGTTGTATCTCATTTATTTAATCCATTTAAAAACCAACATTGTTTGTATGCTAACTGTCTCCTAGCTCCTAGCTAATAGCTTCATATTTAGCAGACAGACCTGAGAATGGCATCAATCTTCTCATCTAACTCTTGTCAAGAAAGAGAATGATATTGTAATATTTTCTAATAATGTTTCCCAAAATGTTGAACTAAGTGTAAAAATGACAGTTTGTGGTTTTAAAGGGGGGGTTGTGAAAGACTTTTTCTTGGCCTGGTGCACAAGACTCCAGGCAGTCGGCTGTAAGCCTCAAATATAATCGACAATTGTAAGCGTGCGCTCATATCTCTCGGCAAGAACGTGAATAAGCATCCTTCCTAAAATGTTGAACTATCTTTAAAGCCTTTAAAGCGTGTCAATGTCTCCTCGCAGCTTGTCACAGGTGTTTGCAGGCAATTTAATCAAAAGTAATGTGCTACTCATGGATTGTTTTTAATAGCTTTTACAAGGTACAAATATTCAGCACATCAGAAAAATGTAAAGAAATAAACCCTAATACCTAAATATGTTTTTTTATTCTATCATTTCATGTTAATCATGTCACAACCCCTCAAATATATTAAACAAACCCCTTGACAGGCTGGAACCCCCTGGTCTAGATAGTAAATCCAGAACTTGTGGTTCTCTTACAGAAAGCTAGATGCTTTCATTTACGACGCTGCTGTGCTGAACTACATGGCGGGCAGAGATGACGGCTGTAAGCTGGTCACTATCGGCAGCGGTTACATCTTTGCCACAACAGGTTATGGTATCGCCTTGCAGAAAGGATCCTACTGGAAACGCCTGGTTGATCTGGCCATACTAGGCATCATAGGAGATGGTGAGGCACTCACATGCATCCATATTCTTCACCATCTCAGTCACATTGCATTGAAGTTTAAGTTTCTAAGTTGTTGCTGGCGTTTCATATTATTACAGTTGTGCCATTGCTCAGCTTCCCCCCCCCCCAACACTCTCCCTCTCTTCTCCCTCGCTCTGTCAGAAAGCTATCAGGGGCTAGTCTTAACACACCATTTCATCATCATTACTCTGTGTGGGTTTTTGTGTGTGTGTGTGTGTGTCCACCATGTCCTGTTATGTTTACTCCTCCAGATTGTTCTGTATAATAAGCTGTGAGATGGTGCGAATGGAAGAAAGAGAATGAGCCAGACAGAAATCAAACTGCTGAAACCACTAAAGTGCTTCGCTTCACACCCAGCCTTTTTATTCAGGGCAAACACACGCATGCGCATGTGACACACAAACACACTCTGTCTGATAATAATTCCTCCCATCTTTCCTTATCACACCATCACTATCAATTCTTCCCCTCCTCCTACAACCGTTTTTTCAGTCCACCTCCTGTCTCCTTTCCATTACGATCTATTTACCACTTCACCTCTTTCCTCTCCTCCATTCTCTCCATCTTCCCTTATAATGATTCGCCCTTTTCCCCACCACACCTCTCTTATTCCCTCTGCTGCCTCTCTTTTTCTCTTTACCTCCTTTTACTTCTTTTCCTTCATTCCTCAGCCCTACCTGCTGCCATCTTAAACCTTTACTTTTTCTCTACCTTTCTGACAGGTGAGATGGAGGAGCTGGAGGCCCAGTGGCTGACTGGTATCTGCCACAACGAGAAGAACGAGGTGATGTCCAGCCAGCTGGATGTGGACAACATGGCGGGTGTCTTCTACATGCTAGCCACAGCCATGGGCCTCTCCATCCTCACCTTCATCTCTGAACACCTTTTCTACTGGAGGCTGAGATACTGCTTCACTGGTGTTTGCACTGGGAGGCCGGGTCTGCTCTTCACTATCAGCAGGGTGAGGAGAGGGAAATGTATCCGATAACCCTTCTCCATAGCAGGAACCTTTACCAGGAACTAGCAATTTACCTTACCTGCATTTTGACAGCAGAAACATAGTCCAGTTTTGGTTCCTGCGTAGCAGTTTCTGCCCTCGTTGCTTCTGAGTTAGTACTTCCAAATTATTTCTGTTTGCAGTGCTGAAGGCCACTTATTAATTGTAAGAAAGCACTGGTTGCAATATCAATATGAGTATCAGGACTCGGGATGGGAACTTCCTCATAATATTATTGACGTTTAAATTTAAAGGCGACTTGCACACTACCTCAAAACAGAAGAGAAGAAGAGTGAGTGGTCTAAACACATAGAGAATCAACAAGCAAAACAAAACTTAACTGTTTTTGCAAATAGTTTCAATGCGGTTACATACTGAAGCAGAAAAATAACAGGAAAAAACTCACAGCACAATATTGAGATTTTTGAAGACAGCCGTCAAGCCTTTGTGGTGTTTAACAACATCAATTCAGACATCACACAGGAAATTACAAAAACGATTACTCTGTTGCTGTCTTGTTGTGGGCAAAAAAGGCATCTCAAAGCAGTTGTTTTTTTTAGTCCTTTATGTGTCTTAATTTGCCTAATCTTCATGGTTCTTCAGATGCGGTAAAAATACAAACAGGAATGTGCAGATGTGTATGTATGATATATACAGTATCTCACAAAAGTGAGTAATATTTGATTTTATCTTTTCATGTGACAACACTGAAGAAAGTGAGTACACCCCTAAGTGAAAATGTCTAAATTGGGCCCAAAGTGTCAATATTTTGTGTGGCCACCATTATTTTCCCGCACTGCCTTAACCCTCTTGGGCGTGGAGTTCACCAGAGCTTCACAGGTTGCCACTGGAGTCCCCTTCCACTCCTCCATGACAACATCACAGAGCTGGTGGATGTTAGAGACCTTGCACTCCTCCACCTTCCATTTGAAGATGACCCATAGATGCTCACTAGGGTTTAGGTCTGGAGACAAGCTTGGCCAGTCCATCACCTTTACCCTCAGCTTTTTTAGTAAGGCAGCGGTCGTATTGGAGGTGTTGTACGATGTTGGAATACTCATACATCTATTTCCCAAAGACAACCTCTGGATATGCTGCTGACCATGTGCACTCAAGTTCTTTAGTCGACCATGGCGAGGCCTGTTCTGAGTGGAACCTGTCCTGTTGAACCGCTGTTTGGTCTTGGCCACCGTGCTGCAGCTCAGTTTCAGGGTCTTGGCAATCTTCTTATAGCCTAGGAGAGAGGAGAGCAACCATTCTTTTTTTCAGATCCTCAGAGAGTTCTTTACCATGAGGTGCCATGTTGATCTTCCAGTGATCAGTATGAGGGAGTGTGAGAGTGATAACACCAAATTTAACACACCTTCTCCGCATTCACACCTGAGACCTTGTAACACTGTGTCACATGACACCGGGGAGGGAAAATTGCTAATTGGCTAATTTGGACATTTTAATTTAGGGGTGTACTTACTTTTGTTGCCAGCAGTTTAGACATTAATGGCTGTGTGATGTGTTATTTTGAGGGGACAGCAAATTTACACTGTTCTACAAGCTGTCCACTCACTACTTTAGATTATAGCAAAGTGTCATTTCTTCAGTGTTGTCACGTGAAAAGATATAATCAAATATTGATCAAAAATGTGAGGGGTGTACTCACTTTTGTGAGATACTGTATGTCGGAAACACGCAATACTTACTGTTAAGATGTAAAAGGATTCTGGGTATGTATGTGTGCCCATCTGAAGTAGAAATGAATTTACTGCTGCGCATATGGACGGCAGGATAGAGGAGTCAAACAGCTAAGAGGATGATGTGGATACAAACTCATATAGATACACACAAAGCTCTCTCTGTATCTCTCACCCACACACACATACACAAGTCTGGTCTAACTAAGTTAAAAATGGTAACACATGTAGGTGCAGTGGAGTGAGGGACAGACTTGACCACACACACACACACACACACACACCTAAATATACACACATAAAACTGAAATGAGCACACCCAGACAGTCCAATCATTCATTATTCATATGTCATGTCTCTGTGTTAGGCAGGGCTTTTATTCCAGACGAACAGCATTTCACACATTAAGTGTTTTACAAAAAGAGTGCAATATGTGTCTGTGTGAGTGTGTGTGTGTTTGTCTGTCTCTCGGTGTGCACATGCCGTTAGAGCAGCGATACTGGAGGTTAAGTGGCTCTAGGAAGAACATCTCCTTGCACTCAAAGGTCCCCTCCAGTGACATCATTGCCTAAATTTAATTTTCTGGGCGCCTCTGAAAGCAGTTCATCTTAAAAAGTGGCGATTATCTCTTCTAGCCACATTACAAAACAAAATGAGGTTAAGGTTTGCAGAAAACGCACTGGCGGAAAGGATGCAGCAGTCTCTTAATTCACCATGCAAGAAAATTAGTGTTGTGAATGTTTGAACTTTCTTTTTGTGAAGGGAATTAACTCTTCTATTATCTAATGTCTCTCTCCTCTCATTTCCTTCCCTTTTCTCTTTTGTCCTTTCCTTTCCTTTAATTTCCTCTATTCGCCTCTCAGGGTATATGGAGCTGTATCCATGGTGTTCATATAGATATGAAGAAAAAGAATCCTGAGCTGGGCTTCAGTCCACAAGCCAACATGCTGCATCTACTCAAGTCTGCCAAGTCCATGGCTTTGTCTTCTCCCAAACGCAACACTGTCCTCTTGCAGCCTAGCATCCTAGATGTTATGACGGGTAAAGGTACTATAACACTGTTACACACAGTAGACCATAAAGTCTATATTTTGAATAAAATTTATAACAAAATGTATATATTCTACCCTCACAGATAAGGTAAACATGGCACCAGTGATAGGACTGTCCACACATTCAGAGGTTACCATGAATTTTCTATACGGTCTACATAAGCACATTTAAAGGTGACTCCCTTCACCTTGTTGTGGACTCCAGAGTGGCATAAGCTCTTCTCATTATTAGAAACACATTAGATGACACACACAGCGTGCCAGGGCAGTAGATAGTGTATCCATCCAAACTGCCATCTATTGTATCTGCTGTCTGAGGTGCATCTCTCCTTGTCTCCTAGGTAACTCACTCCATAGTCTGCCCCCAAAGGGTCCTGGTCTCTATAGCAACGCCGCTGGTCCACAGGGTTTCCTGTCACTGTCCGGGCGACACAAAAACCTCCTCAACAATGCTGCGCCATTTCCTGTGCAACAAAAAGCTCCCACTCATCAGACCAGCCCCAACAAGCCCCAGCTGTCAATCACCAATGACAATGGCAAGACTCGCCTCGCCGGGCCTGCCTGCTCTGCATCAAAACCTCGAGCCCTGTGGAAGAAAAGTGTGGAGACACTGAAGACCCAACCAAGTGTCACATCTCCAGGCCACGGCCAAAGCCCCACCCCAGCGTCTGGACCTGGACCTCCACCAATGAAGAGCCAGCGCTACCTGCCTGAAGAGCCGCCACACTCTGACATCTCGGAGTGCTCCAGCCGACCGCCATCACACAAAGATTCAGATTCCATGGGGGCAAGGGGTGGATTCAAGCCCATCAATCAGCTGAGGAAAAGGGGTGGGGGAGGAGGAGGGGGAGCTGGGGGCGGAGGATCCAAGATCTACTCTATTGATTCAGACCAGGCCAGTCTCCAGTCCGCTCCCCCCTACCAGCGAGACAGTCAGGGGGGAGGTGATGACCACAGTTATCCTCCAGACCTGTTTCCACCTGACAGCACATACTCTCACACTCACACACTCTCCCACCAGGCAGATGCACCCATTTTGCAGCTGAGTGCCAGCCTGCTACATCACAGTCACAGTGCTGAGGCCGACCTGCACTCCCTGAAGGACAAGAAATACAGCACGTACACACACAGCAGGTATCATGTTCAGCAGAAAATGAACACCATGACCAAGTGCTTTTATAGGTTTTTTTGTGTATAATCGGTCTCTCTCTCTCTCTCTCTCTCTCTCTCTCTCTCTCTCTCTCTCCCCAGCGTGAAGGACAAAGCTGGAGGTTCATTCGAATCTCCAGGCGCAGGTCAGGGGACACAGGGTGCCAGGCCCGGCCACTGTCGCTCCTGCCTGACTAAGCTGAGTGGTTACTCCGGCCTTTACACTGTCCGCTCACCACAGGCTCGCTGTGATGCCTGCGCCCACCTGGGAAACCTGTACGACATCAGCGAAGACCACCTGCACTCACACTACTCCCACACACACACTCACCCACACAGCGGTGACATGTTTACACATTACCTTCCCCAGAGCGAGCTGGGCCTGGTGGGCGAAGGGGACGGGCTAGTCAGCCACTTCGAGCCCTCCCCTTCCTCCCCATCTCCTCTACCCACCTCGTCGCCGGCCCAGCACCTTCAGCTGAGTCGTCAGCACTCCTATGAGAACGTGCTTCCGGACGGCATTCCCGAGCGGCAGTCGCAGCAGCACACCCACCTGCGGGGGCTGAGCCTGCCTGACAGAGATAGGGAGAGGGAGCTGACCCTAGAGGAGGGGGCCTATGCTAATGTTCTCACAATGCGCTCTGATCGTCCGTTCAGCAGCCGCAGCCCCCCATCTCCATCACCCTCCCACCACCACAGTTTGGACACCCCTATGCCTCTCCCCCGGCGCTCAAAGAGTCTCTTCCCCGATCGGCCCTCTCACAACCCTTTCCTCCAGTCAGCCGCTGGCACGACACTACGAGATCCTGCCCCCCAGGCTGTCACGCGCATGCCACAGAGAAGTTCCGCCCACGAGCTCTATAAGCAGCGAATGCCGCTGTCGCTTACCCTCGGTAACCATGGCAGCCATCACAACAACCAGCATGGCGGCCATGTTGATCAACAGGTGTTCTACCCTCAGCAGGAGCCCCCTGTGGTGGCCTACATGGTCCCACCTGCTGCCTCTCAGCCAATGAGCTATGTGACAGCGCCGCGAGCCTCAAGCGCAGGCGGCAACAGGCCCCGGCTCTACCGCCGCATGCCCAGCATCGAGTCTGACGTCTGAGAGTCACACATAACACGCTTACTCTCACTGAAACACATTAACACACACGCATGCAAGGAAGAGGTGTGTGTGACCGGACCAGGCAGCTCTGATTCCAAGCATATATACAGAAACACACACACAGACACACACACAAGTAAAAGATGAGGGTGTCTGCTCTGGACTAAAAGGTTAATGGTGATGCTGAGTAAGTAAATAATTGTTTCTTTATCACACAACCTTTATAGGGCAGGGTAGGGGCCACAGGGACACCTGGAGGCACAATACAAGATGAAGAGTGTGTGTGAGTGTCAGTGTGTGTACTAGCCTGAAGCTGTGGGCAACAAGGCACAAACTGACAATACGTCTGACAAGACGGATCAAAATCCTGGTGGAATAAGAGGGACACTGTACACGGAGTCAAGCACCAACAGTGGGATCGGATGGAGGTACAACAGTGTGTTTGGAAGATGAGCCGACCTGTCCGCCCTCTCACCAGCCTCTTGGAGATGAAGGGGACACACAAAAAAACCCTTTCTATCTGAGATTACACACACATATATTTCACCTCAACATGCCCACCCCCTCTCCAGGACTCTCCTGTTGCACTATGATTTCTACAGTCAACCCGTATGTTGTCTGAGCCTCCAAACTGCACTGCCAGCATGGCTTAAAGAGTAGTAAACTACACTAGAGTAATCCTTGACTTGAATGGAAATGACTTTCTTTGTAATAGACTAGACTGGGAGCAGCTGGTCAGGACACAGATCTGAGAAGTGTATCAGCTCCTGCTCGCAGATGTACAAACACTTGAACACACACACGCACACTGTGTCTGTTTTTAAGGTGAAGTAAAAACTACAGACTGTTTGTTATTGTTGATGTCAGTTGATTGAACATTCCAAAAAGTGGACCAAATATGGCCGCCAGTAAAAGCCTATCAGGACGAGAGTGTGTGTTCGAGTGTTTCTAGGTCTAGAGACATACAGTATAGCATCCTTGCTTCCTCTCTTAGCTAGCCTTCAGGTCATACTGCATGCTTCCTACTGCCCTGTGTTACAGTTAAACTCCTATACAGGGTCATATATGCACACATGCACAGACATACTATATATGCACACACACACACACACACACACACACACACACACACACACACACGCACATACGCAGTAGTCTAGGGTAGTAGTTTAGGGTGGGTGTGTGTGTCGAAGCTGTGAGACAGCTTCTCTTTGTGCACTTTGTAGATTTTATACCCTGCCACCTAACACAGATGTTTGACCAAAAACACTTTTATACTGAAAAATATGAGTATTCTGAATCATTCGCTGGATAGATGTTTTCTTTTCTCTTATTTCTCTTTGACATTGGGTTTTAGGGCACTGTTAAGGGCACAGTTCTGTCAGTTTCCATTGTGAGGTCAGACATTTTACAGTTTTAGATAATGGGTACAGCATCATACAGTATACACAACACCAACTCCTAATCTTTCTCTTCATTCTTTGTAACTTTTATTGTGCTCATCCCTCCTTCTAGCCTTTCCTTTTTCTTTCATCAGCTTTTATTTATTCTCTTAATTAAATCCTTTGTCTTTTTGCTCCTTTCCTGCTTCCTTCTATAGAGTAGATTGAGTATCAGAAGAATAAAATTCAGTCGTGGTGTTTAAAACTCAACATATTGTTGGAAATCACTTAATATCAGTAGTCGTAAGAATTCATTTAATTCAGCACCGGCTCTAATAGGATACAGTACTTTTTTCTAATAACTTTCTATGTTGAACAAAGTAACCCGAGGCCCATTTTAATGTTCCCGTAGTGAATTTAGAGGCTGAGTGCATCACTGTTGCAGATTTACTCATCAAAATAATACTCCCGGACGAGCGCCAGAGTAGCTGGTACTTGTTGGCTCTCTGTTGGTGAGAACACAGTGCTGCGTTTCAGCAGAGAGAGTCCCGTGGCAAAGCAGAGTTTGCAAAGTGACTCGTTACAGAAGCAACGCTCACACACACACACACACACACACACACACACACACACATACTCGACGAGCTGGCAATGTGTGTATGAGTGTTCTAGAGATCCATAATCTACTGAGTAAGGGCATTGATTTTTCAGTACAAGGATTTTGATGGAAAAAGGACTTGATATCCCATTAGCTGAGCGTCTGTCTCTATTCTGTTTCTTTCTTTTCTCTATTCAATCTCTTACACAAACACACACACACATATATCTATATATATCAGCTGCAAGGAATGCAAGACAGTTTGAATAAAAAAACGCACCTTTGAACGATGAACACTGCCCCTCTTTCGGTTTGGTGTGTGAGTTATATGCACAATATCAGGTTGCAATATTATACTTCTGTACAGAGAAATCTTTGTTTTAAATGTTAGAAACTGATTTCATTTGTTTGATTTGAATGGTATTAAGTGTTGAGTTCATTTCAATAACAACGTGGCTTTTAATTCTGCTTCTTTAAAAAAAAAAAAAAGACTGGCATGTTTTAGATTATTGTGTGATTTTTTTTTTCCTCTGGTGTGTTGTTGGTTGGGACCTCACTGTACAGTCCTCACTGCTAAGTTAAGAGACTAGTTAACTATCCCGGTCAGCTAACCAGTTAACTAGCAAAACGTAGCTGGGTCTCTCATCTGAATCACACTCAATGAATAATGATAGTCCAGCCTGTGTGGTTAATACGAACCCCCTCCAACCCACATAGTTCTCTTCCACTACGAGTCTGCTGTTTCACCTCTGAGTGTGAGCGAGTGTGTGTGCATGTGTGTGTGTGCGCATGTGTTTTACACCGTGCAGGCATTTATATAAGACAGGATGATACGTGTATTGAGAGGTTGTTTGTGGTGTGTTTGTGTGTGAGTGTGTATACTTTTCTGTACTCTCTTCCCTTCGTCCCACACATAACATTTGACCTGGCTCTTACTCATGTAACACAAATATAGTTACACACACACACACACATACAAACACATACAAACACACACGTTGCGTCTGTACTGTTGTGGTTAAGAGAGTATGTAGAAGTAAAAAGAGTTTTGTAAAGAGAGTTTTGTTATGTCCACCATTACAAAAATTTTTACACCAACCTTTTGTTTGATTTTTTTTTTAAATTGCATGATGTGCTTGTGTTTCTGGTGGTACCTATTTTGCTGCAACACCTGAGTTCTCCCTGAGTTGACCTACTGGGCTACATGTACCAAGGTTCCCCTCCGCCATGGTTAGTGCGCCACATCTGGCTAGAGCCCTGGATGCTTAAACACTCCCAACTGTGATGTCACCAACATGACACCCCAATTGGCTCCAGCACAACGCCGAGGAGCACGTGGAAAATGTTCCCAGGCTCAACACAGTTCTTAGTTTGTCCCAGGTGTACACATGTTACGTACAGTACTGGGTGGAAGGAGTGCATTGGTGTGTAGTCCTCTGGGTCTCCCTGCTGTGTATCTCACTTGTGTATAAGTTCAGGGGTTTCTAAGCTACTAGTTGTGTTGTACATACTACCTTGTCACTCAGTACCTCTGTACAATCTGTAAATAAGTAAAGGTTACATTTTTCTACTTGTCTGGGTCTTGTCGATTAATCTATCTATCTATCTATCTATCTATCTATCTATCTATATATATATATATATATATATATATATATATATATATATATATATATATATATATATACACTCATGTCTCTCTATCTATCTGTCTGTCTATCTGTATATATATCTATCTCTGCAGTTTGCTGTCTACTAAGAGAAAAGGGCTTTTTGGGATTCTGCTGTAAAAGGGCTCTCTGCCCCGCTCTCTGTAGGCTTTCATAATGCACCCTTAGCATGAGTGTGTGAGTGTGTGCATATGTGTATGTATGTGTGTGTGTTTAGATCAGTGTTCTGGTAAAAAGCTTTATTTTTATATTTTTGTCTCCCTCAGGAGACGGACGCTCTAATCTGGGCTGAAGTGGGACAGGACAGAAGAGGGGAGCAGAGAGGAGCACAGAGACAAACGCGCCCTCTCATACACACACACACACACTTATGCAGGCTGCAAATCAGCACACACACACGTATGCTGAGGCTGGAGGATCTGTCACAAGCCATAGACCAGCTGCAGCCAGAGTTAAAGGAGGGAGGAGGAGAACAAAGAAGCGAGGAGTCCTGCTGCCGACTTTCTTTGAAATGGCTCATATGGGAAACATCACAAAACACACGCGCCACAGTGTCTACACAGGCCTATGTGCCTGTTTGTTCATACAGGGGTGTGTGATAACGTGCATATGTATGTGTGCGCGTCCGTATGTCGCTTCCTCTGAGACAGGGTGTGAGGACCACGGCGACCCAATTCTTCCCGACATGATCCATATGCTCCTATCTAATGGATAGAGTAACAACACACAGCCCCTGCCTCTTATTTAATTAATAGAATTGAGCTGACCCACATGTCAGGCTGTAATGCAATTAACACACAGGAGCAGAATACATGTTCCTTGTACCCCTGCAGTAACATACAAGCCTTAGCAAACTCATACATACATGTACATATTCATGTAGATACACAGACGTGATCACAAAGCTATACACACATCAGATGAGGCGTTCTACCACATATAGCCACACTGTAGGGGTGTGAGATTGAGCAGATAAATTAAGATAATTAATTTCCTGAATTAGGGAACATCTCCATCTGAGCAACCCCGCGGCTGGAGAGCAGTCCAGAGGAAAACAAGACACACAAGTGAGAGAGAGAGAAAGAAGAGAGACAGAGCAAAGGATGATGGAGGACGATGAGGGTGATAGTGCTGATTTTGACAGGCCCGCTGTAGGCTGTTGGTTCTTCCCATGACTTCAAACATCCTCATTAACCAGCAGTCAGCCTACACACTTAACACTTGTGTGTGTTTGCATGTACACTTGTGTTGTTAAACTGTTGTGATTGTATGTGTGAGAGAGATAGATAGATAGAAGAAGAGGGTGAGAGAGAGAGAGCGAGCAGCGTGTCAGCCTACACGCTAAACAAACCCATGAAAATTCATAAGGACCTGGCGACGCCTACTCACAAATACTAAAAATACTGGAGTGAGTTGAGCCTAGTCAGAGGGGAGGAAAGGGGTGGAAGAAGAGTGAGAGAGAGGAGATGAATAGAGAGAAATGAGAGAGCAGCAGCAGCAGAGGAGGAGGAGGGAGAGAAGACGAGGATAGGTGTAACATGAACCAGGGGAGAGTAGAGCAGAAAGAGAGGAGAAATAATAGTTACATCAACTGAATCCAACTTGGAACATCTATTCTCAGCCTCCAGCGGTCAGCACTCACTTTGTGTAAAAGAGTGTGTGTGTGTGTGTGTGTGTGTGTGTGTGTGTGTGTGTGTGTGTTTCAGCATGAAAATGTTTTCCCATTTTCCCTGGATAACGTGAGCTTGAGAAGAGAGGGAAAAAAATATTTTTTTATTAACATGTTGACACAAGCCTCTGTGTGTGTGTGTGTGTGCGCGCGCATGTGTGTGTGTGTGTTTGTCCAAAATCCATGTTCACACTGATTTGATGGGGATTGACAGCATTTTACAGTCAAAGTTTTTCATCCAGCAGGAGAAGAAGGGTGGGAGGGACGGGCAGTTTTGATTTTGATTTTGCTTTCAGGAGTGATATATAGTCAAAGAAGATGTTTTGTTCTGGGCGTCTGAATCAGGGCGAAGCGGCTCCTTTCACAGCTCTAATGGTGGACTGCAGGTTTTGGTAAATGTTGACAGATGATGTTTGACTGACAGCATTGCCACACCACAGTTTATCAAGCCCAGCTGTTTATCTATCTATCTATCTATCTATCTAGTAGGCATACTTAAAAGAGTCATCCACCAATTTAGAATTACACTCCGATAACATTGTTGGACACACAATGGATGATTTACAGCACAACACTCCAACACAAACTCCACGTAAGGATAAAAAAACATCAAAAAGTTTTATGTGCTGAAGCCCATCAGGCCAAACAAGAATCAGATCAACGTGGGCGAAAACACAAGTCGAAACTAACCCTGATTTGACTTTTATCCTACTGGACAGGTAAGCTAACATTACTGCAAATCATGTGAAACATTGTGATTTTGTATTTTAGTTGGCTAAAATTAGATCATGTTAGCCACATTACCTTAACAGCTGATCCATATTGCTATCCTATGTACAGATACTATGTCAAAGTGATGATTTTAGCCTGCAAGAAATGATGTAACATTTTTTAGATATGCTGAAATAAACAATGGTAAACTGTAATGATATATCAAGATAAACTACACTGATGACATGAAATGATGACTACAAAAGACTCTTCTTCCAAGATAATTCCAAAAAGTAGGTTCTTTATAACATTATTTTTATTTTATTTTTATGTGCTTTATCTCCTGACTAACGTTCCTCATCCCACTACTATCACTTGTTTAAAATTTACGTTAGATTGGGATTATCGTGTCTCAACACATTTCCAGACTATGGTCTAACTGTTATACTAAAGTGTGGTAACAATCTCGTTTATAATGTTCATGCTGTGTCTCAATTCGCGCACTTCCATACCTACACTTACTATTTTGAGGGCAGCATGCGTTCACACTGAGAAGTACAGCAAAATGCAGTGCATTGAGAGAGATGGTGCACTCATAACAGCTAAAAAGTTCAAGTATATCCAGCTGCAGCCCGTAGACCTGATGGAAGTTGAACTTCCAAATATGGGTTGTCCCAGAAGACACCGCGCACCGCGCACAAAACGTGATGACGGCTCACGTACAGCATAGATCCTAACGCAAACCTTTTTATTCTTTAGAGGCCAACATCAGAACTTTAAATAAACTTCTGAGAAGTTTTGAGGGGAGAAATCAACTGTGTAGATTTGGAATATCAGCAGTTTTACGAAAATTGAATTGAAAATGTGTTCAAATGTTTTCGGAGTTGAGAAGCTCCGCAAGTGCCGACCATGGGTGTAATTATATAGCTGCAGTAACGTTGCTGAAGGGTTAACCGGTCGACATGCATACAATCAATAACTTTAGGCACACACCCCTGTGATGGTTAGGGTAAGAGTAATATGCTTTGGGGGCCTGTCAGGAATAGTTAGCTAGCTAGCTTGCCGGAGGCCAGTCAGCTCCCCCAGGCCCAGTCACACAGACCACTGCAGCAAACACAGCAGATGTGTCCAGCAACAGCTGAACGATAGTGTTAATATTCATACCGCTGTTATTCTATCATTAAATTCTCAGTAATGTTGTAAAGTTTTAACCTGAATCGAGATACATCTGGCTCGTGATGTAGAGAATATTCTTGGTCTGTGAAACTTACAGTTTTTCTCAGTCGCTTTGGTGCATTTCTCAAATCATCCTTAACATTTGCAAAACAGTAAGTGTATTTCTCAAAACAGGTAGTACAAACGGCACAACACAGTGGATTACCTGCAAAAGCCCATAACTTTCTCAAAATCCTTAGTCTATCTCTCAAAAGCAAATCTTTATGTCACTGAACATGTCAGTGCCATCAGAACGACAAGTCCTTGTGTCAAAATGTTTAGCCATAATCTCTTTTTATATTTTTCATAATCCTCTTCAACAAAGTTCTTATGAAAAGACTGTTTCACATGCTCACGTTACTCTAAAGCACCTGCTGGACTGTGTGCGTTCTTGGTCCACATCCATCAACCTATGGACTTGTCATTTCCCCATCGTTCCCAGGCAGAGGAAAGACCTTCTCATTCAGGGGAATCCATGTAACGTTACACATTTCCTGACGGCTTTCGGAACCTTTGAAATAGCCGTCGGGAAATGTGTGATTGGATTCCCCTCGGTCTCTTCATAACAATTTTGCTGAAGAGGATAATATACACATAAGAAGAAAAAGAAAGTCAACAAGAACAGGAATCAAACTAATCAAACTGAGCCCTGTGCTCTACCAACTGAAATAACCAGTGATAGAATAATTTCAAAGCAATTACTCTAAAGAAACGCACCTGCCAGCGCCTGTATTCAGCTATGGTTTGTTATCTCGCGATCACGTGAAAATGAATTATCCCGTTCTTAGGGGAAAACAACATTCACTTTTATATATATATATATATATATATGTATACATATATATTACTGCTCACTGTGTATTGTTACTGTTTACTGGTATTGAGTATTGGTATGGAGTGTTGCTATTGTGATGTTGTTGTGGTCTATTCTTACTTTGTTTATGGTCCTTAAGAAACAACATTTCGTTTAGCTATATACTTGTAGGCAAAGGAAATTAATAAAGTATTTTAACTTTGATTTTTGATAACGTGTTCAACCATTTTGCATGTACTGACTAATGCAATGAACTTATGCCTAGATGTTTTGGGGGGTAAGATTATTCAGCAGAGACTGGTATAATTCATTGTGATTAGCATGACATAAGCAATTGATAATGTAGGAAACAGCAGACAATTGTACATAATCATTTGCATCAGTGTGTCAAAGCATTTGCAATTTGTTCAAAACAATGAGAAAGTATTTTTATGATGTGCACAAGTGACATGATGATGTGGAGGTTGAACAATTAG